AAGTCATTCCTGAGGTTCACTCTTCAGCCAAAGATTAGACAGGCCCATAAAACAAAATGAGACTAAATGGGCACACCAGCCCAGGGGCAAGGACAGGAAGTGAGGAGGGAACAGGAAAGCTGGTAATAGGGAACCCAGGGTCAAGACGGGGAGAGTGTTGACATGTTGTGGAGTTGGCAACCAATGTTACAAAACAGTATGTGTATTAATTGTTTAATGAGAAACCAGTTTTCTCTGTAAATCTTCATCTAAAGTACAATTTTAAAAAAAGAGAAAAAAGAAAATACTAGCCCAAAGGGCTAAAGGACCACCAAAAAAGAAAAAAAGAAATTGAAAACCATTCCACAAAGAAAACTTCAGGCCCAGATGGCTTCACTGGTAAAATCTCTCAAAATTTAAGGAAGAAATATTACCAATCTCACAACATTTTCCTGAGAACAGAAGAAAAGTGAAGGCTTTCAAGCTCTTTTTATGAGGTTAGAATAACCTTGTAACTAAAACCTTACAGGGACAGTATGAGAGAGGAAAATTTCAGGCCAGTTTCACACATGAACGTAGAACATTTCTAACAAAATATTAGGAAACTGTATCCAGTAATGCATTAAAAGGATAATGCATACTGATTCAGTTGGGTTTATGCCAAGAATGCACGATTGGTTTAAAATTTGAAAATGAATCAGGGTAATTTACCATAGTAACAGAATAAACGAGAAAAATCATATGGTCATATCAAGAAATTCTAAAGAACATTTGATAAAATTCAAAATCCATTTATGAGAGAAAACAACTCTTAGAAAAGTAGAAATAAGGTATAACCTCCAATTAAAGGCATGTACAAAACAAAGTACAGCAAATATCATACTTAGTGGTGAAATATTGAACACTTTACTCCTATCCTTTAGGGATCAAGACAGAGATGTCCACTATTATCACTTCTATTCAGTATGGTACTGAAGTTCTTAGCCAGTACACTGAGGTAAGGAAAGGTATGTAAAAGGATTGAAAAAGAAAAAAATACTGTTATTATTCACAGCTGATATAATTATGTTGTAAAAATTCGTAAAGAATTGGCTCCTCCCCAAGATGGCAACATGAGCAGAAGCTCATCTCAAACCCTCCTCAACAGTTACAATAAACAGGAAAATAGAACCATCAAGGAGACAGAATTGCAAATGTAGAACCCTGGAAACCAACCCAAAAATAACAACTAGCTGTGAATCAAAAGAGACAGAAAAACAACAGATAAGGTAAGAAGCTTTTTCTTTCTCTGTTGCCTGGGAAACTTGTCAGTGAAGTTCCACAGTCAGTGAAGCCACAGCTAGTAGCTGTGGGCCATATCTCACAAATAGAGACGTCCCCTGATATGAGGCTGATGGTGAGACACAAATACAGTAAGAGAGTTCTGCTCCCTAGGAGCAAGAAGGAGGCAGTATGACTTATCTTTCACTAATCCAGAAGAACAGAAAAGACTCAGGTCTCAAAGAGAAATAATCAGTACCACCTCTGCATTCAGAGACTTGAAACTTTCAGAGTAAATGAAAAAAATAAAAGAGGAGGGACTGGAGGGCCATGCCCAAAACTCAGATACTGTGTAACAGCGGCATCATTAGGGGGGTGTGGGGGTTGTGGGCCACACTGGGTGACACTTTGGGGGGTTACACCAGAATGACTGTCTGTAAAACTTCTGTGCAGTGTTTCAGCATAAATTTATTATTTTTTATAAAAATATCCCTGTAGTTAGTTACAACAACAAAAATATTTTTCACAAGCCCAGCTTACATGTATCAATATACCTACAAGGCTAAAACTTTATACTAATTTAGTTTTTTAACCTTTTAATGAGCTTCGGTCAAAGCTGTTATTATTACCCAATTGCAATGACACTTCAAATGTCATGGTTTTGTCTGCACATGCTACAAGCATGCGCTTTTGTTTTCTGTTGCTGCTGATGTTTTCATAGTCTCTGATTTTGTCAAATTTTCTGGTGTTTTAGCTACAATATTGTGGTAATTAGTATTTGTGAACCTATGTCAATAACTTTTTTTGAGAATGAAGTAATCACGGAAAACAAGGAGTGATATACAGGAATTAGGATTTACAAGTAACAGTACAAAAAACATAACTAAGGATTCTGTATGATCTGTTACGGGAGGAGATTGATTGGGGGGGATGACACCATGAGTTACCGCACTGGGTGACACCAACCCTAGTGAAACCACTGCCATGTAAAAAGGATAGAGGATCTACCTGAGGGCTTTGAAATCAGATTGAAAACTTGTGTTGGTTGGGGAAGTGGGAGGGCTGCAAGTACCCGCCATTACCCGACTGGTGCCAAACCAAACAAAGAAGTTCCCACCCTTCTCCAAGGCTGTGAGATCTTACAGTCTGCATAATAATTCTGACAAAGTGCTCAGCAAGTGCTAGAACAACCATAAGTGCTAGAGCACCCCTTAGGGAAACTTAGAGGAAGCAAGAAATAATAACAGTAAACAAACACAGAGGAAAAACCCTTTGGGGGAAACAGAAGAATCTGAAACCCAGAATTATCACAGCAAACTATTCAAATGCCCAAGGTGCAACAAAAAATGGTAAGATATACAAGAAAGCAAGAGAAGAGGGCCCAGTTTAAAGAACAGAATGAAGAGGCAGAAGTCACTCCCATGGAAGTAAGAATAATAGAAAAAATAGAGGACTCCCAAAAAACAAATTTAAATATGCTCAAAGAATCCAAAGATCACACAGACAACAAACTAATGGATATCACAAAAAAATGAGAATTTTAATGAGATAGAAAACACAAACAAACAGAAATACTGAAGTTGAGGAACTTTATAACTGAACTGGAGAATGCAAGGGAGGGATACAACAATAGACTAGAGCAGACAGAAGAGTAAGCAAACTAGAGGAGAAAACAACTGAATTTACCAAATCCCAAGAGAAACAAAACACAAGTGAAAACCACAAAGAAAATTGAACAAAGCCAAATGGAACTTTGGGACACCATCAAGGAGAACCAATATATGTATTATGGGGATTCCAGAAGATGAAGAAAGAAACAATATTTGAAGACATTGTAGCAGAAAACTTTCCAGACCGGAGTAAGGAAATGAACCTGCAGATCTAGGAAGCTTGAAGAACTCCAAGTAGAGTGAATCCAGAGAGGTCTTCACCAAGACACATTGTAATCAAGCTCCTGAAGACCAAAGACAAGGAAAGAATCTTGAAAGCAGAAAGAGAAAAACACAAAATAGCATGAAGGCTCTTCAATGAGATTAAGTGCCAACTTCTCCACAGAAACCCTGGAGACCAGGAGGCAATGGAAAGATACATATAAAGCAATGAAGGAAAAGAATTGTCAACCAAGAATTTTTTATCTGGCAAAACTATACTTCAAAAACCAGGGCATATTCAAGACATTCCCAGATAAGCAAAATTTGTGGGAATTTGTAACTACCAGACCTGTGTTGAAGAACTGCTAAAGGGTGTCCTTCAAGTGGAAGGGAAATAAAACTAGACCTAATCCAGTACAAGGGGAAGAAAACTAAAAAAGGAGAGATCTCCAATAAAGGCAGTGGCACAGGCAAATGAAAAGGCCTGTTGCAGGGTATTTTCAAGGGGTAGATTTAGTTGTTATGTGCAACAAGCTTCATATTATCAAATGTATAAGAAATAAGTACAAAGTTATTCTAAAAGACAGAATATATAATGATATGGTAAGTGATACAATAACAAATGGAAAGAAGAAAGAGAGAATTTGGTCTAGAGTTTAAGTATGTTAATATTGTATTTACTTGCTGTTTGCATGTTAACTGTTGATATCAAGATAAAATAGTTTTTTTGTAAATGTAAGGCCTCAGCTGTAATTTTTATGGTTTCCACTAAGTAAATACTTTAAAATATGCACAGAAGGAAGAAACCAAACAGACTCAATACAGGAAAGCAACTTATATAATGAAAAAGTTCCTAGAAAGGTAGGACAAAGAAATTATAAGACACAAAAAAAAACAAACAACAAAGTGACATAAGTTAAGTTCTTTCATATAAATAATTATATTAAATAACAGCCTTTGTGCATGTAATGGTTTTATTCCCCATCAACATGAAATTCAGTTCTTTAATCAGTTTACACACCACACAAATGCACATACATACACACACATGTACCCTCAAGCAACCAATTTATGGTTTAGTGACTTTACTGTATATTTGAGGGGTTACTGAGAAGGTTAACATCAAGCACCACACAGTCTCTCTGCAGTTGCATGGCTTTCTCCCTCTTTTTCCACAGAGAAAATTAATTTCCTTTAAGGTCTTATGCAAAGGGAGTTGTTTTATTTTTCTGAAATCACGCTACTCCGGCACTCACTAACTCCAAGCAGGTTTATCAAGGCACTTTTCCCAACAGATGTAGTTTATCAATAACAAGAATCATAATAATAATAATTATGATAATAGCTGCTGACACTTATATAGGGCTTACTACGGGCCAGACACAGTTCTGAGTACTTTAGTTCTCATACTAACCCCACAAGATACTTAATATTATTATTATCCTCATTTCACAAAGGAGGAAATGGGGTCACTGAGGACTTAAGTAACTTGCCCATGGTCACACACAGTTGGTGGAGAAGAAAGTTAAGGAGTCAGGATAGGAGTGATTGATAATGTCACAAGCAGGGAGGCCTGGAAGGATGAGATCTGAAAAGCAGTCATATTTGGTTGGAAGGTAAAAATTCATGAATTTTTGAAGAGGCACTTCAGTTTGGTAGTGGGGCAGAAGAAAGATTGCAAGACATAAAATAGGAGTGTCTGGTGAGAAAGTAGAAGTAATGAATGGTTACAGACCACCTATGCTTAACTTTTAAGAATTTCTCCTTTAATCCTCTGTAGTTGAAATAATTAAATCTATTCTTTTCCAAAGTTATATATATAGTGATTATTTCTGTAGTCTTGTAAAAGTTTTATATTTTTAATTCTCTTCTTATTGTTGAATTTTCTAGGATGTGGTGCCACAGGTTGTTCCACTTACAGAGCAGGCTCCAGAACCTGCTGAAAGGAGGAGTCACAAGTTGGGCCCTTCAACAGCCCAACTTCAAAAGATTATTTCCATTAGCCATCCACGGACACCATACAGCCTCCAAGTCTCTGAACTGTGCTTGGCAGCAACATGAAGATCATTTTGGTAAGAGATGTGTAAGACTAAGATACTTTTTATATGGCCTGAAAATACTTTCTGTGGAGTTGAGAGGACATCTAGCCATTTCTTTCCAAAATTATTCTGAGAAGGAGAAAAAGTTGGGACTGTCACTAGGTGGATTATTACTGGCAACACTTTTAAGTATTCCTCTAGAGTAATATTTCTCAAAGTGTGGTCAGCAGACCGTCAGTATCACAATTACCACTGAATCATAATCTCTGGAGGTTGGGCTCTGGAATCTGCATTTTTAAGGAACTCCTCTGATGACTCTGATATAAAATAACATTTGAGAACCAAAAATAAAGAGCTCTGTTTGGATATATTAAGATTAAATTGTCTGTGAGGTATTAAAGTGGATTTACAAGTCTGGAAGTCCATGCTGGAGATACAAACTTGGTAGTCATCAGCATGCAGATGGTATTTAAAGTAATGAAAATAAATGAGGTCATCGAGGGAGTTGTATTGGTTTCCTGGGGCTGCCATAACAAAATACCACAAATTGGGTGGCTTATAAGAGTAGAAATTTATTGTCTCATAGTTCTGGAGACCAGAAGTCCAAATCAACATGTTGGCCAGGTCATATGCTCTCTGAAGTTTCCAGAGGAAGATTCTTTTTCTTTTTTTTTTTTTTTGTCTTTCTAAGCTTCAGGTGGCCTCATGCTTTTCTTGGTGTATAGATGCATCTTTGTATGGCCGTCTTTCATTTGTTTATCTCTCTGTGTCTCTTCTACTCTTTTATAAGGACCTCACTCACATGGGATTAGGGCCCACCCTCATCTTAAATTGATTACGTCTTCAAAGACCCTATTTCCAAACAATGTCACGTTCATAGGTACCAGGGGTTAGGATTTCAACATATCTTTTTTAGGGGACACAATCCAATCCATAACACAAGTTGTATAATCCATGAAGGGAATAAATACCATGACAGAGGCAACATTTAGCAGAGAAAGAGGATCCAGCAAAAGGAAGTTGTGAGGGAGAACCTAATGAGTTAGGAGGAAAGGCAGGTGAGTGTGGTTTCCCAGAAGTGAGAAAAGAGTATTTAAAGGAAAAAAGAGTAGATAGTTTTGTCAAGTATTGCTGGGAGAGGTCAAAGATGACTTAGAAGTGACCACTGGATTTGGCGACACAGAGGTTATTAGTGACCTTGACTGGAGCAATTTCAATTGATCTGTGAGTGGGGAGGGAAGCTTAATTGAAATAAGTTCAAAAGAGAATTGGAAGACTTTCAGTTTTAACTTGGACATGTAAAGAGCTCGGAAGTTGGCATTCCTGTCCTTACAACAAGAAAATGCTGGACAAACATAATCAACAATTTTTCTTGGACCCATCAGAGTACTGGGGTCTCAGGGCACCATTCCAGAATCTGGAGAGACATGTACCTCCAGGGAGATACAGGACCTGAAATTTGCTTACCTGGAACAGAAACCATGGGAAACCAGAATCTGGTAAGATTATTAAGCTAGGGATTTTGACAAACTCCTGGAAGAGTGGGTGAGAGTGAGAAGTGAATGGGAGCTGCAGTTCCACAGGCTTTCCTCCAGGTACCGCAAAGATTCTTACAAGGAAGACCAAAGAGGATCAAGATGAATCTGGAGACACCCCTTCCCCCTGCCTTGGCTGGGGGAGATGAAGAGTAACCATTGCGTACTCTGCCCAGGCTCTTTTCCATTACAGAATAAAAAGCCTTAATTTGGGGAATGACATAGCCAAAGGGCAACAGTGAAATCTCATTCCAGCTGGGGGAAGGGAACTCTGCCCTGCTCCAGCCCCACTCCAGTCACCCTGTCTCACCTAAGAAAAAGAAGAGAAAGGAAAGGCTCAATATACAAGGGAAAGGGTTTCATATACATAAACTGGGAATACTGTAGCCAGGGAAGAGATCAGGGGACAAGGAGAGAAAAACTCTACCCCTGGAGGAGGGACAAAAACAATTTTAAAGTCCACATCCTCAAGACACAGGCCCACTGTGAACCCCAAAGACTGAGACTTAATAAGAAGAGAATGATTTCTCTTCCACACCCTACCTCTAGCTAATAAGCCTTCATTTAAAATAACAATGGATTACAGCTGGAAGAGCTACAAGAAGCAGACAGTCTCTGAGGAATAGCATGAAGGGAATGGCCAAAGCCAGTAAGGGAGACAAAACAAAGTCACTAGAGGAATTTACACCTCAGGTACCCATAAACACAATAAGCTTCAAAGATAGCTCAGCTTATGGCCAGATTAACATAAGTCCTATACTGAAGTCCTATTTACATCAGTGTCCACTGCCCTATAACAACATGTCCAGCTTTCAGCAACAACAACAAAAGTAACAAAACATGCCCCACATCAAGAAATAAAACACAGTTTGAAGAGACAAAGCAACACCAAAACCAGACTCGGATATGACACTGGTGTTGAAATTACGAGAAAGGAAATTTAAAATAATGATTATTAATATGTTAAGAGTTCTAATGGAAAAGATAGACAACATAAAAGACAAAAATGGATAATGTCAGCAGAGAGATGGAAAATATAAGAAAAAAATCAAAAGAAAATGCTAGAAATTGAAAACACGATAATAAATGAAGAATACCTTTGATGGGCTCATCAGTACCCTGGCACATCTCAGAACAGAATCAGTGAATGTCAAGATAGGTCAATAGAAATTACCCAAATAGAAATACAAAGAGAGAAAAAAAATGTGTTGCAGGGAGGGACAGAACAGAATATCCAGGAACGGTGAAACAGTATCAAAAGGTGTAACGTATGTGTGACTGGAATTCTAGAAGGAGAAGAAAAGGAGAACTGAGCAGAAGAAATATTTGAAGAAATAATGGCTGAGAACTTTCCAAAATTATTGACAGACACCAAACCACAGATTCAAGAAGATCAGAGAACACCAAGCAGGATTAATTACCCCCAACACATACACACACACGTACACACACACTCACACCCAGGCATATCATACTCAAACTGCAGAAAACCAGAGACAAAGAGGTAGAAAACACCTTACCTACAGAGAAACATGGATAAGAATTACAGCAGGCTTCTCATCAGAAGTGATGTAAACAAGAATACAATGGAAAGACAACTTTAAAATGTTAAAAGGAAAAAAAAAACTACAACCTAGAATTTTATATCCAACAAAATTATCTTTCAAAAGTAGAAAGAGAAATACTTTCTCATAAGAAGTTTTGTGAAGTTCTTCTGACAGAAGGAGAATGATATAGGTCAGAAAATTGGATCTATATAAAGAAAGAGTGTTAGGAATAAATGAAAATAAAATATAATATCCTATTTTTTTATTCTTAATTGCACTAAATTGTAACTGACTTTAAAGAAATAACGATAACAATGTATTTGGTGTTTATATCATATGCAAAAGTAAAATAAATGACAACAATGTGATGGGATAGGAGGGAGAAATTAGGAATATTCTGTTATAGGGTACTACACATGAAGTGATATAGAATTATCTGAAGATGGGCTTAGATTACTTAAAAGGTATATTGTAAACATTACGGCAACTACTGAAATTTTTTTAAATAATATACATAAGTCAAGAAAAGAGGTAACATGGAATCATAATAAAAAATAGTGAAAACCAGAGAAGGCAGAAAATAAGAAAAAGAAAATAAGGAACAAATATAACAAATAGAAAACAGCAAGGTGGTAGATTTAAATCCAGCTGATCATGTTGTTGTTATTGTTGGGTGCTGTTGAGTCGATTTTGACTCATAGTGACCCTATGTGATAGAGTAGAACTTCCCCATAGGATTTTCTTGGCTGTAATCTTTACGGAATCAGATCACCAGGTCTTTCTCCCATGGAGCTGCTGGGTGGGTTTGAACCACTAACCTTTTAGTTAGCAGCCAAACGCTTAGCTGTTTGAACCACAAGGGCTCCCTAACTATATCAGTAATCACTTTAAATGTAAATGGCTTAAACACTGCAGTTAAAAGACAGATGTTGTCAGATTGAATAAAAGAAGACAAACAAGATCCAACTCTATGTTTTCTACAAGAAGCCCACATTAGATATAAAGACTCAGATAGGTTAAAAGTTAAGGGATAGGGAAAGAAATACCGTGCAAACACTAATCAAAATGGTAGAAGCTACATAAATTTCAGACAAAGCAGTCTTCAGAACAAGGAAGATTTAAAGAGCCACATTGTATAATGATTAAATGGGTCACTTCTCCAAGAGGACATAATAATCCTAAATGTGTAGCGCCTAACAACACAATGTCAAAATACACGAGGCAAAAACTGATAGAAATGAAAGGAGAACTAGACAAATCCAGTTATAGTTGGAGACTTTAATATTAACCCTTTCCTCTCTCAGTAATTGATAGATTAAGCAAGCAGAAAATCATAAGCATATTGATGACCTGACTAGCACATCAGCCAACTTGACCTAATTGACATTTATAGAACAATCTCTCCAACAACAGTAGAATATACATTATTCTGAATTGCACATAGAACATCCACCAAGATAGACCACATTCTGGGCCATAAAGCAAATCTCAACAAATTTCAAAGAAACAAAATTATACAGACTGTGTACTCTGAACCATAATGGAATCAACTAGAAATCAATAACAGAAAGATACTAGAAAAGTCTCAAATATCTGGAAATTAAGCTATACACTTCTAAAGAATACATGGGTCAAAGAAGAAGTCTCAAGGGAAAATAAAAAATATTTTTGAACTAAATGAAAATGAATATACAGCTTATCAAATTTGCAGGAAGCAATTAGAACAGAAATGTATGGCAATAAATACATACATTAGAAAAGAAGAAAGATCTAAAATCAATAACCTAAGCTACCACAAAAGATGTCTTGGGAGAAGTACAACCAGAATGTTCCTTAGAAGCAAGGATGTCAAGACTACGTCTTACATACTTTGGACATGTTGTCAGGAGAGATCAGTCCCTGGAAGGACATCATGCTTGGTAAAGTAGAGGGTCAGTGAAAAAGAGGAACA